TTATTACCATACACCATCATAAAAGGGCTGCAACCAGTGATTTAGTTTGGTGAACGATTGTAGGCAAACTCTAATGGAGGTAAAACAAGATCTCACTGCTTGATTTTTTTCCTATATAACTTCTTAGAAGGTTGCCTAAGTTGCGATCAGTTACCTTCGTTTGACCATTTTTTGAGGAAGATGAGAATAACTATACTTGAGATTGGTGCCAAGCTTCTTTCAAAGGTGCGCCAAAAATGACTAAAAAACTTAAAATCTCAATCAAACACCATAAATCTAAGAATTCCATGTAACCTCATAATTTTCCTAAAATACAAATAAAAAAACATGAGAAAATCTGTAGTTTTGGTACAAGGAATGAAGTGGGCTATTTTGGAAAAACGATCCACAACCATCATGATGAAGTCTTTGTTCCTTTAAGTTTTAGGTAATTTAACTACAAAGTCCAAACTAACATCCTCTTAAGAAGCGTTAGGTACGGGTAGTGGAGTATACAATCCAATATTTTAATCATAACTCTTGGTAATGTGCCACACTCTATATCGTTCAAAGTGTTTCATCACATCTCTCTCTATTTTCGATCAATAAAACCTATCCTACAAAATAGCAAGTGTCTTGTTCCTTCTAAAGTATCTACCTAATGCACCATCATGAGTCTCATTGATTAAGGCTTGTCTCAAGGAACATGAAGGATGTAAAAGCTGTTAGCTTTGAAGAGATATCCATCATGCAACAAAAACTAGTTGTGTGATCTTTGCTTGCATTCTTCCCAAATTCGATCAAAGTAAGGATCTATCTCATAGAGTCCTTTGATCACATCAAATCTAATAACTTCAACAACCATAGTCCCCAATAAGGAGTGCTTTTAACTTAAAGCATTTGCCATCACATTTTAAGTTTTTGATTTATGTTTGATAGTGAAATTGTAGGCTTAAAGAAATTTCACCCAAGCTACATACCTTTGATTGAGCTTATGCTGGCTATTGATAAACTTCAAGGTCTCATAATCTGAATATAAGACAAATGGCTTAGAAAAGAGATACTGATTCTAATGGAATAAAGCTTTATATATGGCATAAAACTCTTTATCATAGGTTGAATACTTTTTCTTGGCTTATTAAACTTCTCACTGAAAAATACTCTAAGCTTTTCTTCTTGACTTAAGACAGCATCTATTCTAGAATTGGATGCATCATATTCCACCTTAAATACTTGATCAAAGTTTGGTAGGAACAAGATGAAAGCTTCAGTAATCCTAGTCTTGATGAGCGCAAAGCTGTGTTAAGCTTTTTTTATCTATTTAAAACTTTCATTCTTCAAACATTTGGTGATGAGAGCCACAATAAAGCTAAAACTCCTAATAAAGTGGCTATAGAAAGATGCAAGGCCATAGAAGCTTCGGATATCATATAGAGATGCTGGTGTTGGTTAATTTTAAATTGCCTTAAACTTTATAGGATCCATCTTTATTCCTTCTTTTGACATCACAAATCCTAGAAACACAAGGCTGAAAGTAAAGAAACTGCACTTTTTAAGGTTAGCATAAAGTTTTTGTTCCCTTAATATACAAAACAGTTGATAAAAATGATTTAAGTGTTGGTTATCGTATTTGCTATACACCAAAATATCATCAAAATATACTATTACATATCTGTTAATACAATGTTTAAAGATATAATTCATAAATCTCATAAAAGTACTAAGAGCATTGGATAAAACAAAAGGCATTCCATCCATTTATAGAGACCATCCCTTATCTTGAAGGTTATTTTTCATTCATCTTTAGGCCTAATTTTGATTTGATGATAATCACTACGTAGATCTATCTTAAAAAAAATAATTACTCCGTATAGTTGGTCCAATAAGTCATCTAAGCATGGAATAAAAAAGTAATAATCAACTGTGATTTTATTAACTGCACTACTATCCATACACATGCGCCATGATCCATCTTTTTTAGGCACCAAAAGGGCTGGGATTACACAAGGGCTCATGCTTTCACGTACCATTCCTTTTCTTACCAATTCATCAACTTGGCGTTGCAACTTCGCATGCTCTTTAAAACTCATCCTATAGGCTACCTTGTTGGGTTAAACAGCTCATAGGATAAGGTCTATGTACTGTTGAATATCTCTCATTGGTGGTAGATTAGTTAGTAACTCTTTTTGAATAATATATTAAAATTTTTTCAATAATGGTTGTATCATTGTAAGAGGCTCTTAGCTATCTTTGTTCTCTTCAATCAACATCAATGCATATATAGTACCACCTATCTTAATTTTTTTTTTTATAATTGACCTTGGTAAACAAGCTGCTTCTTTTCCCTTTGGTTGGTTTTGATATCACCATGGGCTTGATAAGGCCTAGGATGATTTTGCATTCATCATTCATAAATATATAAATGTTGTGGTAACCATCATAAATAACCCTACTATCATAATACCAAGGTCTTGCAAGTAGTAAATGGCAAGCATCCATCGAAGATACATCATATCACACTTCATCTTTTTATTATTTTCTTATAAAAAAATAAAACTAAACACCTTTTGCTAACCTTGATTTCATTCTCTTTCTGTAGCCAAGATAGCTTACATGGTTAAGGGTGATCCACTATCTTGAGGTCTAATTTTTGCATCATAAAGGTAGAAACTACATTTTCAAAACTTCTACTATCAATTACAACATCATATTTCTTCTCATAGGTAGTACACCAAGTGTGAAACACATTTTTATGCAACTAATCTTTTTTCTTAGTAGGTGTAGTACTCAAGCAGCATTGTATGACTAAAGATGCTCTATAATTGCCATATATTACCTTTTTCTCCTCTTTAAAATTTTGATTCTCTTCAGCCAATTCCTCTTCATTTTCTTCTAAGTATTTTTTTTACTAAAGCCGCAATCGTTCTGTTTGGGTATTTTTAGGTAATGTGTCCAAGCTTTTCACATTTAAAACAACTTCTAGTTTGTGAACTAGATTGAAACTTGCTTGTTGAGGTTTCATCTTTCTTTTAGGACTGCTTTGGAATAGGCTTAGAAGGAACAACAATCATGAATGGGCCACTTTTATTGATATAGCCTTCTCAAGACTCAAATATCAAGTTGCTATCATGGGCCTCCTTTTGTTGTCAATTCACCATAAAGGCAAGCTTGCATACATCATTAAAAGTCCAATAAGGTTGCAATTGCATCACATTAGCTATCTCAATCTTCAATCCTTCAAAATACCAGGCAATAGTCTGCTATTCCTATTTTACCAATTCACATTTTAGCATGAGATGGTCAAACTTAGTTGTATATTCCTCCATTGAGAGATCTCTTTACTTCAAGTTATAGAGCATAAGAAATATAACTTATCGAAAGTTGTCTAAAAGATACTTTCTCTTCAACTCTCTTTTCATTTTATCTTAAGTTGTAATTTTTCTCTTACCTTCTCTTTCTTTTTGCTTTTTTAGATTTTTCCACCAAAAAAATGTATGCTTTCTAAGTTTAATGGCCACTAGCTTCACCTTGCAATGTTCTAGGGCATCATAGTATTCAAATATGCATTCCACCGTGTGTAACCAATTTAAGACTTCTTCAGGTTGTATTTTCCTTTCGAACTCAAGAATCTCTATCTTCGGATTAAATATGCTAGGTTGAAGTTAGTTTCTACGTAAATAGTCTTTGACTTACTGTGGGTACGGTGGGGTGCTATCATCAAAATCATTATTATTTTTATGGTATGAATTGGCCTCTCCTTTATCTTCTTCGTTCTTCTTTTTTTTCCTCATTATCTCATCTCTCTCTTTTTGTATATGTAGCTATTGTTGTAGTTGAAGGATCTATTGTTGCATCTCTTCTATGAGGGCATCTCTTAGGTCAATATTGGTAGTTACTGTAACGTTGGTGTTAGTTTCAACCTCTTCTGTTGGTGCTTGACGATGATGAGATGTTAAAGAGTAACTATAAATAGAAAAGGCTCACAAAGAAAACAACTCACAATAATTTGATAATGGTAGAATATGATTATTGGATTAAAAGGGATAAAAGTTCATCACCAAGACTAGATACTAAAGAATACAAAAACACCACCCTAAGAATTCTAATCAAGGATACTGAACAATAGAAGTTCACCACTTTAGAAAATTCACCTAAAAGATACAGAACTTGAAAATTAATCTAAAAGATTGCTTAAGGATAAAGAAAACTCTATTTTGCTTTCTTTCAAAGAATAATAGAAAATAAATAGGCTAGGAACATCCCTTCCAACATCGAAACTTTCAAATTAAATTGTTAGAATCATGCCTAAAATTAAGGGACTAGCATGTGAACCCATTTACTCTTGCAGATTACATAATAATGAATCTAATCATAATCTCATCCATCTTCATCTCTTCTTTTTCAATTAGTGTAAACATAATCTTCCTACTTTAACCCACCTTATATATGCATTTATTTAGTGGATTTGGACCAAAGATAGGCCCATCTTATTTTTGGATAAGTCATTCTTAGTCTCAGCCTAAGTTATAAGTTGTGTTGACACTCCGATGCCAACTTAGTTTACTTTAGTGCAGAATTGAGGATCAAATTGCAGATGTGTTAACCAAAGCCCTATCCAAAACTAGATTTGAAGCTTTAAGAAGTAAACTAGGTCTTTGCAGCTATTGAGGCGAGGATGAGTGTTTTAAGAATGCCTTATCAGCTACATTATGCAGACATGAGCTACTGATGTGTGATAAAGAGTGAGATGTGCATAAAAAGTGGTGAAATTGAATATGCCATGTCTGACCAAAATTTTAGGAAGTTAGTTGTGTTAGTGGTCTATGGAAGTTAGTTGTGTGTTAGTGATTTTTGTTTATGGCTTGCAAATAGGAAGATCATGCATTGTTACTAGCAATCATTCTAGTTTTTGGTTAAAATCCTTTTGTATTAAAGGAAGTTATATCGAATAAAGAAGTTTAACAACATTTCAATTTCATATTCTCGTTATTCATTCGTATGAGTTTATTTTTGTTCTTTGTCTCTGTAAAACCAACATCAACAACTTCTCCTTTCAAATAAACTATGTATATAAACCTCGAAAACAAGAAATGAAAAGATTTAACACTTAAGAATATTCATAATTGATTCTTGTTGGCAAAACACTACGTATTGTATAACAATCTCAAAGGACCAAATCTTTTTTTCCATAAATTAATTCCTGCGTTCTTTATCATCAGAAGCCGGTGTTGAGGCACTGTTGAAAATTGGAAAAGTCAATGAGGACTGAAGTGAACTCCCTGTTTGAGCACTTAAAGATGTCAATCCTTGAAAGTAGCTTGGTGCAGATGATGATTCCTTCCCATTCTGTGTCAATAAATTTTGAGAAATGGCCTGCATCAAACTCTGACCAAAACTTTCAACTGTTCGATCGGTTTGGTCTCCAGGTTTTGCACTGCTACCAACCATTGATGAAATGGCATCAGCTATTACTGATAGGAAACTTGCGTCTGATGTGATTGCCTTGGTTAAGGTTTCTGTCAATGACTTTTGAGAAGCTAGACATTGCTGATTTCCAAGGTTTAGGTTCCCAGAGTGAGTTTGGTTATAGGGTGTTGCACCGTAAGCAGGGTAGCCGTTGCCCCAAACTGTAGGTAAAATGTTGGATTCTGATGAAGAAAAGTTGAGATTTGTTGAAGGAAATCTTGCTGTTGTAGGGAAGTTTGTAGAGAACCCGTTGAAATAATTAGATGAACAGGAAGGAGAGGCGGTGAGGTCTAGCGTAATTGTTGGGAACAAAGGTGAGGTAAAGTTTGATAAGTAGAACCGTCCTGCTCTTGAATTATCATGGAGGCTGAAGCTTAATCCATTGAGTTCAGTTGTAAGAGTACTTGTGGCTGTGGAACTGAGGCCTGGCCGCTGAGATATTGAAGAGCCAGATAATAGCATGGACGCACCTGCTGAGGTGGTGGAAGCCATGGCTGTAGCTGAAACTGGAAGTGGGTGGTTGTGGTTCCCTTCATAAGTTGTGATTAAAACGGACATATCCTCAGAACACCTTTGCACCTATCACCAAGTTTCAGAGGGAAAAAATTGTGATCAGTTGTTCCCACAGAAAAAATCTAGAGAATTTCCAAAAGGCCCCACCAAAAAATCTACCTGTTTTCTCACTGGACATCCTGGTGCAACTGTGCAACGATAGTAAGCTCTCGGGCATGGATTTGCTTTTGATATTTTCTGTCCATATTTCCTCCAATGGCATCCATCACTCATCTGCAAAGAAAGAAATTAATACTTAAGCTTTTCTTGTTCTACACTGAATTGTCCAAATGATCAAAATTCAAAAAAAAAATCTTCGACAACCAAGACTGGAAAGACTCTTTTAAGGTTCAATACTAACCGTTGGTGCATCACATCTAGCTCTCACAGAAACCCTAGCTCTTTTCACGTGGCTTTGTTGTGTAACCTGATCCTCATCCCCATTTCTTGTTGTCTTTTCAGTCTTGCTTGGTGGCCATGTTTCTCCTGCATCATCTTCCTTTGGTTCTTCTGAACTGTTTTCAGGGCTAGGATTTGACACAATCTCTGTAGACAATTGAAATTTAGAGTCTAATCCAAGAGTTAGACCGGCCTTGATCTCTGGGACATTTTTAGTTTTGCTAGAGCTGGTTGTTTTCTCAACTTTTTTGGAATCAGTTGAACTTCTTCCAAGGGAAAGAGAAACAAGTTCAGGTTCTGGAGCTTCACCATTATGAGAAGGAGCTGATGAGTCTGTAGGTTTCTTGGCAACTCCTTGTTGAAGGATTTCAAAGAAGCGTAATTGAAGAGACTTGTAATCCTGCTGGATCTGCTCTAACATCATCTTTAATCTCTCATTTTCTTCCTTCACCTCACCCATCTCAGCCTTTGCGGATTCAAGTTCATCCACCTGGTCAACATAGTTATATATTTGCATTAATTGGACACCAGATTCTTTGATTTCAGTATCACATCCATCTTATAGAAATTAACCGAACTTCTCGACATAATATCAATTGACTCCAACTACCCCACACTTTTATTATCAACTTTTATTGATCCAAACACCAAATTGTGCAAATTAGTATTAAAAAAGAGAGTGGTGATCAACAACTATATGCATGATGTATCCGAAACTGTAAAGATGAGGCGTACCAAAAAAATTTTAATTTAAGAACTAATGAAGAACCACGTCTAGTTTATCTACCTCTTTGTTATCTTCCAAGTCCTCATGGTTGAGTGATGATGAGTTCAGATCACTACTTTTGAGAAGTTTTCTTCCAATATAAGTGATCTAAAACACAAAGAAGGACAATCCATTAACAAATACCATAGCCACTTTCAGGGATCAAAAGGCCGTTCAGGCATAATTTTGTTACTTGATATTGCCCCAATGATCTCTTGAGATATTGCATCCATTACTATCTATGTTTGTAGGATAATTTGACACCCAATAGATCGAATAATCCTAAGAAATGTTAATTTTGTGAAGAGTTTAGAACAAATCACCAGTGCAATAAGGGTCAATACCTTCCTAACTTCTGGAGTGTAAACTTCTTGATGGCCAACAGATTGAGCAATATTCTTTTCTTGTTTGACAGCAGCATCTGCGCTGGGGATTTTCGTCAACAAAACCTCCATTTTTGTAGGAGAAAATTTATTTTCCCTTTAACCCTCCTTAACCCCACTATATATTTTCCACATGAAAATCTTCCCCTCCTTATAATACAACCAAAACACAACTTGGGTTTAAACAAAATTCAAATATCCTAGTGGTCACCTATCAACCCTTACACAGGCAAGCACGAAATGTCAACACCCCAACTACACTTCCAAGAATATTTTTTCGTTAAATTCAAAAAGCTTATATAAAATAAAGTATACTGTGAAAGAAATAACATAAGTTTTCACAGTTTAGCAAAGAAAATGATTTTTATATGGATGAGAGAGCTAAAATTGCGCCCAATTCACCAATATCTTATATATAATGGAAATCTCAGAAGCTTCAGTTTAGATTTAGACTAAATAGAACGAGTCAATGGGGTTAAGATCATAAGTTTTATCTTTTTAGCCTTGGATTTGCGATGAGTTCATTTCAACGTTGGCTTCTATGGCTAATTGTTTTCATTGTAAGTTTCTAGTCAATACGCTTGTCTAACACGGAGTGAGACTCTGCTGCATGCGTCATTTGACCTTTTTGCTTTTTTTTTTTTTAATCAAACTATATACTATATTATATAGCTAGCTGTACAGATATTATATGGCCACTTGATCAAGTTTTAATTGTTATAGTTGGCTATTGAATTAACTTGCAGCACACCTTTTCATTTTAAAAAAAAATTCACAGTCTAAAGATATGAGAATGAGTTTTATATATATTATGATTTAAACTTTATATTTATTGAATTTTACCTTAAAGATGTAAGGTGATAATGATTCAGATTAGATTAGATTTATTTTTAATAATGTACAATATTATAAATTTTTAAAATTTAATCTAAATCCAAATTGATTATCTCTTAAAATCGATCCGATTCAAATTGAATTTTATTAATTTAGTTCAATTCGATTCATCGGTTTTTAAAATTTAAAAATTTTAATTTATTATTTTAATAAAATTTTTAATATATTTAAATAAATTTATATATTAAATTATTATTTTATTTTATAAAAATTTAAAATATATATAAAAACTAATAAAAATATATAATTTAATTTAATTCGATTTTTTTTAATTTTTTACGTGTCGATTCGAAATCTGATTTGAACTTAACATACATATATTTAATATTTAAATTTGATTCAAATTGAATAAAAAAACATAATTGAATCGAATATTATAATTTTAAATTAATTTTAAATTTTTTTAATTTTTTTCTCACCCCTATAATGATGTTATAATTTTCGGTATTCTTAGGTGTAATTTCTTGGTCCTATAATAATATTTGTCTTAACGCGGAGTGAACAGAAAAACAAGATAAAACTTGTGAAGCACTTTACAGTCTGAATAGCACTAGTGGAGTTACATATATGCAAGTTCAAGAACTTTTATTATCAAAGTTGACAAACGAACTAATCCATTGAATCAATCTATTATCGGTCATCTTCTTATCCTTCATAATAAGTTTATTCCTGATTCTACACAACAAAACAAAATAGATAAAAACAACTTCATTAATTTGATTTCGAGATTTAAAATTCTGAATTTGAGAATTTGATTTCGAGATTTTGGAGTATGTATCAAATATTTTAAGATGTATTTAATTTTAATTTGATCTATTAATAAAATATTAAAATTTTAATTTTAATGATCAGTATTCAAATTTTAATATTCTCAAATAAAAAAATATTTCAAAATGTTGAATAACTCTCAAAATTTGAGAAATTAAGAGTATATTATGCATTGTTGACATAAGATGATAGGAACATGTAAAAGCTGGCACAAGTTCAAAGAACTTGTTTTGGAATCTTTATTGTAAATCGCTTAAAACGTTTGAAAAAACATTGGTGATTATGGTACATAGTTTTTCATAAATCAGAAAATGTCTCTACATTTCACAATATTAAATTCTTCAAAAGTACACCAAAAAAATTGTTTTTTTTTTCATTGGTCAACATTATCCAAAGTACACTATCTTGGTTTTGGGGGGAAGGAAAACCCTATCTTGGTTGATTTTTTTTCTTACAATTTGATAGTTTCAACTCTTAAAGCAACACAAAATAAGTATACATCTGGGGATATGAATTTCTATTCTTTTGGTTCATGAAAGTTTAAGGTGAATAAAGACTTCTTCAATTCAAGGTAAGCAAATTGCAGGTATTGGAGAAGATTTGTATTGGTTTTCAGATTGTTCATAAGAGAGATTGTTTATAGCGAGATTTAAATCTAAATCTTACAAATGAAATATTCAAATCTTACTAATTCAACCAAATCTTGTTGATAGAGATCTAAATTTTTGTCAATTGCTATAATTATATTTCCTTTCTTTTTTTTAAATGAGATTGTAGTTTGAAATAGGAAAAAAATTGCGAGTGTTCGGATTTAAATTTTAAATTTATTGACTATTATATCTTAATGAATTAATTGAGTTAAGCTTATGAATTCATTTTCTTTTGAATTTAATAAATTAATATATATTCAATTAAAATCCTAACTTTTTTTCAAAATTAAAATCATCTAACATTAAGTTAGTATAATAATTATAAAAAATAATTATAATAAGACTATGGTTTAGATTATTAAATTCATCACCACGTCAATGTGTTTCTTAATCTATAAGTTTTTATACTATAGTTGAACACATCTCAAATAATTAATACTATTATTTTAATAAACATGATTTCTGAAGGTTTTTATTTTAAAGTGTTGGCAATCTCAGTTGCTTAAATAATCTTTATCACCCTTTATCAGATAAAATATTTGGGTCCTTTTCAAGTAACTTTAAGTTGCCCTTAGGGGTTGCCACATCTATAATATATACAAAATTATTGTCACCAATATTATTATTTTTTAGCCAATTAATTAAGTTGATTATTTCATGGACCTTGACCTTTGGTTAGGAAATTATACTAGTTTAAATACTTAATTAAAATTGCCCGTGATTTATTGGTAGAATACTGGACTTTTAATTTTAATTATTAGAGTTCAAATCTTGATAATTTCAAGTAAAAAAATACACTTAAAATGATAATTGTTTATCTATAATTAGAAGATTAATAAATGAATAATTAATTTGGAGTAGGTTTTCAATTATAGAATTTTCCTAGTCTGTCATCGATGAGTTGCTAATTTCTTTCTTCCCAATTTTTTTGCCATGAAGCAACCTTATCTAAATCTTATAGTCAATGGTTACACATTGAACTAATACAAATAGCAGCCTCTTGCCTTTGAGAGACAAGGTTGTAAATGAAAGGTCAACGCGTTTTAGCACTTCTTTGCATTGAAATCAAAGAAATGATTGAACTAAATTTTAAAATTTAAATCATATACAAATTTCTTCTTCCGAGATTCTTGTAAAAACAAGCTAAAGCACTTCAAACTATCAATGGTATTGGAATCGGCTAGAGGATTGAGAATTTTAGGTTTGAACCCTTATTGTAATCCAAAAGAGAAAAGAAGTTCAAATTATTTTAGTTTCTTTACTTTTATGGCCTGGGAAAAGAGGAAGAAGGATGGTAATCCTCATTCAACTTAAGAAAATATTTAATTGGTCTTATACATTAATCTTCAACAGTTGAAGTTTGAACCAATAGTTTACACATTGAATTGAATACAAGTATGAGATTTAGATTAGACGTATATTTATGCACTAATCTGACCAATGGAAGTTGAATTCCCATTTTTTAAAAAAAAACTAATAAAAAAAATAGAAATAACACAACAGATTGAAATTAGAACTGATTAGATTTTACACTATAGTTTTCTCTCTCTTGAACAACTGAATGAAAACAAGGGAAAGAAAACTCTAGAAGTCAATATGTTTTGGCCAATTGACAATCCCAACATCTTTTCACACCACAAAAAATGTTTGTCATTTTTCAGGCGTAGTTGTAAAAAGTTTACGATAAGTCTCCAGGGTGGTTAGCCGAGCAGAATGTCAAGCAGAAGTTGCACAACAAAATTAAGTTAAAAATTAAAACCTAAGAAAGTTATGGTTGCAGTCAAATTGAGGAATGGGTTTCAATCCTTGAATCATGATGAAGGCCTAGGTAAAGGGGTTCCAGTGACAAAGGAATGGAACAATGAGAGGGTTTGTGAAGGGGATGTGAAAGGAAAGGAACCTCATGAGCTGCACCCCTGACTGGCAAATGTTAGATATGTTTCATTTTTCCCATCCTTTGGAGCATCAAATGATTGTGTTCATTCCCTTGTAAGAGGTTTTAAAGAGGATTTACATTGGATTTATAAATAAAATGATTACTGATAATGAGATTCAAACTTAAATCTTACAAGTGAAATATTCAAATCTTACTAACTCAACTAATTTTAAAAGTATGCTACTCATTTTAAATAGACAAAAAGTAATAATATGGTGACAGTAGTGTCTCAATATTTCAGACTTTTTTCTCTCAATTCATGCTTCTACTATTTCTCAAAGATTTCCTAATAGGACTCAAGAATGAGAGAAGTCCTTGAACCAACGGCCCAAATATATGGGCTAAAACAGTAATGTTTCATGAACCAAGAAATGTAAATTAATTCTACTTTGAACCTCCATTGAGCCACAAAGTTAAAGGTTACAATTCAACTGTATTGGATTCGGCTTCAACAAAGTAGTACAAAAGAGTTCTGCCATGTCTAGCATCTGTTACAATGTAGCCCGAATACTGGTTAAAAGAAACATTTTTGTGTTGTCCTGGCAATGATGTTATCAGTTCAAACATACATTTCAATGTTTATACATTAAATATAAGACAATATCCACAAATTATCCACAGTTCAAACATTAAATTTCGATGTTTATAGAGAAAAAAAAGTGAGACAATGTTTATATGAATAACCATTAAACATCTGTACAAAATCAAACACTTTATATATTGCAATTGATTTAAATCTAGAAATAATCAAAATCTTAACAATTTATTAGTCTTCAACAAAATTAACGTTTGACACTGATTGATTAAACATTTTATTCTGGAACTATCAAAATTTACTAAACATTAAACTTGCTGGTTGTTATTATACAAAAGGGTAGCAATCATGATGCCCACAGTCATAACTTCTCTCCAACTGCATGTTGGCACAATATCAGCAACAGCTACTTTAATAGATAAGCATCGACCAAAAGAAAAAAGTTTAATAGATAAGCATGCTTAGAGACACATAGCAGCTTTCCTGGAAAGTTGTCTGAAATAGATAAGCATGCAGAAACCATTCTTGGTAACCCAGCCCAGCTGAATGATTATTAATGGTACTGTTAGTATTTATAGTAACATGATGATATGATAATCATGCTCAACACATAATGTAGACTTTTGAGAGACATGACAGAGACAAACTCTTCTTTGTTAATAGTACAAGAACCTCAAGACAAAACAGTATTTCTGCTCTGTCACAAATAGTCATTCAAATGCCCCGAGTCCTATCAATTCCCGAGGCTACCCCTGGCCCAGTTGTCTTTGCCATTCAATAGCTCAAAGCCTTAAACTGAATTGAAAAAAACGACAATCATATTAAAAGATTTATTCTTCTAATGCATTTAAGTTATCAAAATCATCAAAAAATGAGACTTTATTAGGATAATAGAAAAAGGGCAAATTTGGCATGTTTGTCATAAATCTCTATCATCAGGTCAGTCATTTACAGGGGAAAGGAAATACGAGGAAAAAACGAATTGGAAAATGATGACGACACTACAAAAAGAGTGCATTTTAACATTTTTCTCATTGAACTACAACTTTATCCGCTGCCCATTCAACAGTTTTGCCTTTTTTTTTTTTTTCGTCTTTTTCTTTCCTTCTATGTACAGAAAACCGTGAGGAAAAAGAAAAACAAATAGTAACCATGCCCCACCAAGGAGAAAAAAAAAACAACGAAAACGAAGGAAATAAAATTCCTAATGCTGCACGGCAGCCATTGACAAGACAGCATGGATTAAGAAAATGATGTGAATTACAGGATGATGTACATCGCTGATTCATTTTTCCACAATCTCAAGGCCTGTGTATGATGCTCCAACAACAACCAAGTCCTCAGGTTTCTCCCTCTCTTCAAGCCATGCATGCTTATCCTTCTCCTCTTCAGGTACTGTTACTCCATCAACTGAAGTTTTCAAGAATTTTCAGTAAGCATGATTTCAATAAGCAAGGCAAAAATCACGAGGAAATTGGATGTCAAGAAGCAAAATGGTACCCGATAGCTTTGTGAAGGGATAGTCATAGTAATACGCACAGTGCCGTCCTTCAGGATCTGAGTATGGAGGGCCTAGAACATCCAGCACGGCGCATGCTGTCACCGCTGTGAAGCAATGCATGTTGCCTCCATCAGCTGGATATAGTATGGAGGTGTTGCAAGGAGCAGTCAAGTCAGAGTCGACCTTAACCTTAGCCAACCGGACTGCAGGATGTTGCACTGCTGCAAAAAAAAAAAATGGTGCCATGGTAATTTCCTTCTACGTAAATCAAGGATGATGCTTCTTTTACGCCTGTTCATTCTTGTCCACCATAGTGTCTCTTTAAGGGTTTCTAGCGGGGCTTCCAACTATTGTTATAAGAAACGCATTGAAAACATAGCAACATCTTCATATACTGCATTCTAAGCATATAAATCATTCCAGGGTATAATTTTAAGCAAATGTGGCTCTTTGAGTTCATCTAAAAACTATCTCTAATGGGCCATCATGTCCAACATAAGAAGTGCACAACCTAAGTTGCAACATACAAAATTTTGAGATCTGTCCACTATTCTACCCTGGCTCTTAACCAATGGCATTGGCCATACATGAGCCATTAAGTATTCCAAGTATAAACCCTCATCAACAATTTGGTTTTAACATAACCAATCTGTTTTTTAACTATAATTATTTCTCTTTGCCACTAAAATCCCAATCAACGCAGCTTATCTTTTTTTTTTTCTCCAGTCCCACCTCTGCCCTCCTCTTTCTTCCTTTTTTTTTTTTTTCAAGAATAAGCACCTGTACCAGCTTTTGCAGCATCTTAAGGCCAGCAGCATAAAAGTCTGGAAGAACCACCCTTTATATGGCCCTAAAGAAAATGCATATATACACATCTGCAGAGAAAGCAATAGAAAAAACAATTATAACCATAGAAAAACACATACTTTCTGAAGGAGTCACAACAGCTGATGCATTGCTGGAGACATCAACCACCCAATCATATGATTTGATGTGCATAGTCCCAAAGAGAAGCTTACTGAAAACCGTCATTCCAGGGTGATTGTGAAGTGGAAGGACACCAGATGGTGGCAAGCAAAAGATGCCCATCTGCAATAAATGAAAAATTTTACAAGTCCAAACTAAGACACGCTACGCTGAGTCAAACTGTGGCTTGGGTTTCTTAAAGGTCATAAAATGCATTTCGATAAAGCTTTATGTACCGAAAACTTTTCACACTCATGGATGTGCAGGTATGTTATTGGTGGAGCTCGCTGATAACTGGGTGGACTAAAACATGGCATTCGTGGGGTAAGACCAATATTGGCAGGATGGATTTCATCTACACAAAAACAAACAGAAGTAACGTCATTATCACATGAGTAGCATCTGTGATAGTTAACATTTTTTTTTTGGTTTCTAGGGAGGCAGAGCCCTACAACAAGGGGGAAGGGGGGACCCCAGCCTTATGTCTTCTTAAGGCTTGCTTGGCCACTAGGCCAGGCAGCTGAAGACGTCTGTGATAGTTAACATAATTGTTATTCTTTGGCTCTATCTCCATTAGTTACGCCTTTGCATTCTTTAGATAATAAACAAATGACTGCATCTCTTTTACTGACTCTTTACTTATAAAGGGAAGACAACAGTAATCGAAGGCTGAATAACCTGATCAACTTTATTTCAATTGAAACAACCACATTCAATGCCCATAGAAGATACAAAAAAAAAAAAGACATAGTGGGAGAGTTTGCATCACAAATAACTAAGGTGCATCAAAATTAGAGAAAGCAAAATGGCTGCATACAAGATGGATGCACCTTCTATTTTTCCAGTACATATTCAAAGCAAAAAAAAAAAAATGTAGTCAAAATATAATGCTTCACATTATAAAGAAAGAACTGACATAGGATCCAAACATGAGATATCTTTCCTATGACATCTGAAACACATTATACCATGTTACATAATTTATTGAAAGATTTTAACCGACACTTCTTAAAAAGTACACAAAAAATACATGTACGAAAGCCTTAAAGGATACTAATGAACCATAGGCAAGAAGAACATGAATAAAATAACAAAGCACGCAGCCCACAACACGAATATTCAAAGGAATTGCGGTAAAACAAGAGTAATGGTACACTTCCCAACATTTTTTATAGTCCTATCTTCTCATATTATGTGATAGAAGTAGCTACTAGTAGTTCATGATATCACATTCCTATGATCTCCATATGCTGACAGACGAGTGGTTAATGAGTGGTTAGTCAATGGCTACATGCCACAGGTGACCCTTTTGAAAAGAGTAGAAGTAAAAAAATAGTATGTATGTAAATATTTATATTAAATGGCTGGCATTTTCTAAAAATTAAAAATTTTATGGAGGATGGTAAAGTGTTTGATTATTTCATCAAATATTAAGAGCATACAGCGTTGTCAAAAGACAAAATTCAGAAAAAAATGCTGAACCAAATTCACAAATTTCAATGTTTATCAGTCCCCAAATTCAATCAAAATTCAGACATATAAACTATTTCAAAGAAATTTAATATCACCAAATTTAACAACTTTTTTGTATCAATTAACTACATTTATACACTAAAGTAAACCAATCCTATGACCAATAAAACCACAATCAAGACATACCCAAAACAGCTCTAAGCTGTTCAATTTTATCCGGAGTAGGGACAATTCCAGTCCCGGATAAGGCAAAAACGTCCTTGCAAGTATCGAAAAGCCTTTGAACCGGGGACACCAGGACTGCAGCCGGCATAATCATCTTCCCATGCCGCCGCCGGCTCTTCTTTCCCCTGCTATCTGAAGTATTATTCCTATTCTTATTCGCATTGGAAACTTTATTTGTATCTCCTGTATTTGTTTTGGTTTCCTTAGCCAATGCACTCAAATCTTTCCCTTTTATATCAGCCAAAGTTGCTCTCCCCATTCAGCCTCCAAATTTTCCCTTTAGAACTTTGAGTCAACTCTATCAGGGAGCATAGACAAAAAGAGCTAAATTTCGATATGGGTATAACTGAAAACTGTTTAAAACTGAAAATTGAAATCTGGGTATTAAAGAAAAAGTGAAAAGAACCCAGAAATAACAATGAACAAGGAAAAACAGAGGAAAACAGGGGAGCTAAAAGAATGTAAAAATTTGTTTTTTTTTTTTTTTATGTAATTCAAGATAGGATTTTTGTACAAGTTGAAGGGGAGTAATACAGAGATGTGAAAGTTGGCATCTTTGTTGGTGAAGAAAAAGAAGGGGAAATGAAGGGGTTTAAAGGAAGGGCATAAGAAGAAGAAGGAATGAAAGCCTAGAGTTAAGCTGAAAGGGAAAGAGGGAACTGTTGGTTTTTGAGAGAGAGTGAAAACCAGGGGCCATAGTCGTGGAAACTACTTCCCCTGCAAAAAATCTATGGGCTACTTCAAACAGCGGATTTAATATCCTAACTGTGGTGATCCGATTTGGTTTTTTTTTTTAAATATATAAAAATATAAATTTTTAAATTTTGATTTGAATTTAAATAGATTATTTTTTAAAAAATGAATTTAATTGAAATTAAATTTTATTAATTTGATTATTAAATTTTAAATTTAATTTTTTATTTATTATTATATTATTTTAATATAAATTTTAATATATTTAAATAAATTTACATAAAATAATTATTTTATTTTATAAAAATTTTAAATTTTAATAAAAATAAATAAATAATTCATTTTATTTCATTTTTTTACTTTTTAATTTTAAATTTAATTCGAACTTATTATTTATTTTTAATATTTAAATTTATTCTAAATCAAATAAAAATTCAATCTAAACTAAATTAAATACAACAATTTAAAATTATTTTTTTTAATTTTTTCAATTATTTTCCTCACTCGTATCAACTCTCCGCCGTCAAAATCCCGCATCTGACTTTTCCCATTTTTGCCCTTGATTTTATTATGTTCTATAATATACGTCCGCACTTAAAAACATTAACAGATTTCCTTTCTATAAGGAAGATAATAGATCCATTCAAATCAAATTTAGTTTAATTTTTTTGAGTATTATATAATTTATGAAATTTTAAAATTTAATTAAATTTGAATTGAATCAAATTAAATTTTATCAATTCAGTTTTATTTAATTTATTGATTTTTAATTTTTAATTTTTTTAATTTTTATATATTATTTTAATATAAAATTTTAATATATTTAAGTAAATTTTGATATGAAATTATTATTTTTATTTTAAAAAATTTTAAAATATATATAAAATTTTAAAAATATATAATTTGATTCAATTCTTTTTTTTTTTACTTTTCGATTCGAAATATGATTCAAATTTAATATATATATTTAATATCCGAATTTGATCTCATCGAATAAAAAAATTGATCCGAAATAAACTGAATATCATAATTTTAAATCAATTTTCGGATTTTGTAATTTTTTTCTCACTCTTCCCTTTTTATATGCCTAAGAAACAAAATTTGCACTTGAGGACTTTAGTTTTAGGGAATTTTCAAAAATGATTGGAATTTGGTGGTATTTGTTGTTGGTGAATATGGAAATCTTTTTCAATTTTTTGGGTGTTATTTTCATAACCGGATAATCTTGTATTCTATGTATATACATCCTCTTAAGATTTACTATATTTGGTGACGCTTTCTTATAACTAAAAATTTTGTTTGATATTATTTTATTGATATCATGAAAGTGCTAATAAACCCAACAATAAATCTATTTTTCTAATTAATAATTTTTCATATTAAAAAAATTTTCTTTTTACATAATTTTCAACAACTAACAAATATATAAGTATCTAAGCAAGTATCTTGAAGGTCAAAATTTGATATTTCAATTTGTAATTTTGGATTCGAATTTTGATATAAAAGAGTTGAAATTATGGAATTAAAAGGAAATGTTCTTTCTTGGTACATGAATATAGAATAAGAAAGAATTATCTTCTATTGTTTAGTATAAAACTTAATGATTTTCCATCTATAATATATATAAAAAATAAACACATATAGAAGCATAAAAACATGTGAGTTTTGAATGATTTATAAAAAAAAAAAAAAATCGTTAAAGCATTTCAATTTCTTACAAAAATCTTTAAAATATCAAATTTTAAGATACAAGATGTCAATGGATAAGATAGAGTATTCACCATCTCCATCCTCGTATTTTCATATTATATCCATCCCCATACCATACCCAATGGTAATTTAGATAATTTTTTATTTTTCATATTAAAAACTTTTTATATTTTTATCTTGTAATTTAGGTAATTTTTTATAAATATATATTATATTTTTTCTCAATAAAAATATATTAATTTTAATTAATCTAAAACTATAATTTATATTATTTAATAAAAATCTATATAATAAATATATATGTAAAATACCGATATGAGGTAATACTATATTACCCATCTCCATTCCCATCTTCATACTTAATAAAAATTAATATCATACACATCTCATCCTCATACTCATGATGTAATGTGCATCAACATCTTTATTTAAATAAAAAATTGAGTTCTCTATTAGATATGGGTAAAATTGACATCCTAATAGGAGTTTTATATCAAAATACTAGTTTTGAGGTAAAAATTAAGTATTTAATTGAATTATTTTACATTTTAATTCAAAATATTAAAATAAAATGGTGAAATTGCAATCCAAAGAAAAATGCACTGGATTTTTTTTTCTTTCTGTAATTGTTGAATGAGTCTCTTCTATATATCACAATCTGCATAGTGCATGGCATGTCAAAAAACATGGGCATCTTTATCTCCTTGGTTTTTCACATGCCTTAATTTATGAAAGAATATTATACATCATATATTTATTTTATATTTCTTTCATCGTTTTGAATTACTTTTCTAACTTAAATGTTACCAATATTTTGGGAAATTTTCTAAAAAAATGTTTTTTTGAATCTTTAGTTTCCCCACAAGAAATCATGCAACTATTGGAAGATATATATATATATATATGTTTTTTAAAGTTATCATTATTTAATTTTAATCATTTAAATTAAGAATTCAATATTTTATAATTAAATTGCTGTCATATTTATGTTTGAAAAGTTCTAATTTAAAAACTAACCAAAATTAATATTTAATTAAAAACAACATAAAAATTATCAGCTAGAAGAAATTTTGTTGCTATAAGTCCAATCACTCTTGACAAATAAATATTATAGGTATGGAAATATGTAACTATTTTATGTGACAACTAGATTTTTTTAACCCATACAATGTACGGGATTTTTTATTAAATTTTTCATAATTTTAAATTTATTTTTTAATTATTTATCTAATATATAATTATATATTTATAAATACTAAGTTACAATTAAATGATAATTTATACATAATATATTATAAATAATATTGTTCATCTAAAAGAAGTCTAAACTTTTATAAATTTTCAAGAATTATAAAATCCTTTTTTTCATTAAAAATATTTTCTTCAATTTATTTGCTAAGTACTAAAAATTTTCCTTCCTTTTTTTCTTATTTGATAAAAATCAAGAATCAATATTTAAATAGTTAAGATTACTAATTATTTTTATGATATTGTTGATTGGGTGGTGTATATATATATTTTTTATTGGATAACAAATCACAATTATTAATTTTATTATATTCATTTGCTTTTTATTAGTTCTTATTTTTTACATATTTCAAGTAATTATTACGCAAATATATTGAGCTAACAATTATTTCTATATATGTCAACAAAATAAAGTTATTTTTTAGATAAAAGGAAAACAATAATTCTTTATGTTATGCTTAAAAACTGTTTTTTTGAAATATTTTTTATTTTTTAATCATTTTTAACATAATTGATAGTATTTTTTGTGAGTTAGATATGGTAGTGATCATCATTCTTCTCATTTCATCTATTATAGATAAAGAAATTTAATAATAAAAAGTATAGTATAAGGAAATAAAGAATATAAATTTACATATTAATTTGTCAAGATTAAATATATATAATAATAAAAGTAAATATATTAATAAATTAACAGAGAATAAAAACATTGAAGAAATGAATAAAACAAATATATATATATAATACAAAAAGTTAATTATAATCAATTTAAGCAAAATTAAAAAAAGTTATGGATTAAAGAGAAACAAATAAATTAACCAAATATATAATATAAAAGTATTTATTTAAAACATAAATAAAACATTATATTTGTTTTCAAAGCAAAAACATATTTTTATATAACTTTTTTATCAACATTCAAATGTCTCATATTTTCATATAAAGATGTAAGCTTTTATTACTTTAAAAATACATGCTTTTATAGTCAGTAATTTATTAACTTATCTAAAAATATTAAATTTAAATAATCTATTAAATAATTTTTAACTTTTGATATATTTTGATTTGAATCTAAATAATTATCTAAAAATATTAAATTTAAATAATTTATTAAATAGAATTATTTAACAAAAATAAAATTTTATTAAGTATATATATTTGGAACTGTTATTAAATTTAAAAGAAAAGATAATTTATGATTTAATATATTTGAATTCAAATCTTATGCAAAAATTTCAATATTAGATAAATTTTGATTTCAATTTAAATAATTATCCAAAATATTCAATTTAAATAATTTATTGAAAATTTTATTTGATAAATAAAATAATATAAATATTATCTTATATGTCATTAAAAGAGATTATCCACTTAAGTATCCACATAAACAATTTTGATTATGTAACCTGGTATGTTGTAATATAATATATGTATTAGATTTTGCTCATGCTAATTTATTTTTATTTTTTTCAATTTAAGTAAATTTACATGGATAATTTCAAAAAGAGAATGAAAATAGGTAGTTAAATATTCTTAAAATACTCAAAAGTTGATTGGGAAGAAGAGTATTTTTTTTTTTTTCTAAAGCATTTATCTCATATGTGAAATGCTCTGTATAATTACGTAATTCTTTCCTATCAAAAGAAATTACATATAATTCAGTAAAAGGCTCCATATTTAATAATACTTATTCTAAGAAAAATTTCAAAAACCTACAAAAAATCAAATCATGAATTTGAACAAAATATATCTCAATAAGATAAAAGATTTTGGAGAATTTAAATCTAATTATTTATTTATTTATTTTTTACCTTTGTTCATGTCTAGAACACTTGGGCTTCATTTTGGAGTCTAAAAATACGTTTTATCAACTTGACTTTTTTTTCCTATAATCTATAACTATTATATAAAAGTTATCCCTTGACTACTTGGATTTGTAATTTGCTATATACCTAATTAATGTATTAAAAAAACAATTGAAGGGTAAATTCGAGTGAAAGATTGAAGCTTCACTAAAACTTTTGGATTTTTCAAGACAGATGGTAGAGAAAAAGAAAAAGAACGATTGAATGAGGGAATAGGGGA